ATGACACAGGGAAGCTGTAGGAACAGCAAAAAATAGTGATACAGGAGATAAAAGAAAAGAAAGTATACTTTTAAGGAATACAATAGGGACAACATGTTTAGTATAATAATTAAGGGACATTATTCAATAAAAATATAAATTGAAAAAGAAGTGGGAGGAAAGAAAAACTAGTTTAAGGAGACAAACATTGATAATACAGGATCAGCCAGATTTGTTTCAGACTCAGTTATTTGAACTCCTTGTTTGAACTAGATGTGGAATATCAAAATAAATGAAATACAACATTTAATATAGTTATGTAGTCAGAGTAATACAAAAATATACACTGAGGATGGATATTAAACATATTTTTAGGAATTTGCACCCAGTGGATGGTCAGTCTCTCATTGAATTTCTCTCAGTTTGAGCAAACAAGATAAGCTCTTTCCGAGAGAATGCTTTTAAATTTAAGTCCTTCTCACACAAAGTAGTTATTTCCAGGAATGCCAGTTTGGGTCAAACCACTAGATACCTAACATGATTCAGAATTTCCACGGGAACTAAATCTTTTCTTGGAATTGTTTGGATTTTAGATGGACAGATTTGGATTTTTTTTTCAGGAGGGCACAGGGACAAGTAGCTAGTGTACCCACACTTTACTATATATACGCTGGTCCAAAGTTGAGATGTTGGTAATTAAAACCAAGATTGGAGAACGATGGGCTGAGGACAAGAATCACACAATTTATTTATTTATTTTTAAAATTTTATTTATGTATTATGAGAGAGAAAGAGAGCAAAAGCAGGGAGGGGCAGAGAAAGGAAGAGAAGAGAAACCCAAGAAGGCTCTTCACTGTCAGCACAGAGCCCGATAGAGGGCTCCAACCCATTAACCATAAGTTCATGACCTGAACTGAAATTAAGAGTCAGGTGCTTAACCAACCAAGCCATGCAAGTGACCCAAGAATCACACAATTTGTAAAGCATATACTTACTTTTTTCCATTTGGGATATTCATCATAAATTACTCAGAAAGAAGTAATCAGATGGGTCTCAATACTTATGATTGTATAAAAGAACCAAAGTGACAACTCAATATATGAAACTACAGATCTAGCAGAACACAGTGTGCTTGCCTCAGTCACAGCATTACCTTGAAATACTATCCATTCTTCTACAATGATGTGATTGGCGCTAATGAATTATCAGAGCTAATAAAAAACATTAAGAAGTCAGATAAGTCACCATCGTCAGTTTCTCAAAGAACAGGAGGAAATTCTGCCAACAATCGTTTTACATTTAGTGAGACAATCAGGAAGTGGCAACAAGCCACACAGTTCGAACTTGTTTCCTGCTGAGTCTGTCTTGCACTAAATAAATGTGTACATAGCCAGATCAAATGAAAATGACTTTTACTTTGTTTGGTCATTTGTAGTTTTTGCAATATTATGGCAAATAATTTACATCCAGAATTCCTACAAAGAACAATAGTGGGTGTTAACAGAAATCATCAGAATTATCTAGTCATTAGTTATTTTGAGGTGGTATTTAAAACATTAAAAAGTAGAGAAAGTGAGGAGTAAATTTAGTAAGGTTATTAAATGCTCATTCCTTAGTCGGCTTCTAGGTTCAAGGGTATGTTTGTACTTCTTATTCTTATTCTTAACACCTGACTCTGCGCTTTGCAAACTAGTACCAGTGTCTTGTGTGTGCAATTTTTTTGGACATAATTTTACTTGCCACAAGTACATCTGAAGCATATCAGTAATCTTATCAGTCACTATTTACACTACATCTCTTAGTAACCACGTATAAATATTCATTCTCTAACTATTATGTGTTTGGCATTGACCAAATATTAAGAGCCAAGGTCAGTGAGTCAAAGTGAGCTTTCAAGACCATCCAATAAATCAACTCAAACAAATTATTCACTGGTAAATTATCCTTCTTTCTGGTGGTTGTGAGAACAGTAGAGAATGGTCTGCTACTACTGTAAACTAGAGTAATAAATAAGCAAGATGGCCGGTTGTCAAGGGGTAAAAATTACACTGTTGAAAATGCAATCGGGTTTCAGAGACCTTCATACATAAACTCTTTGAAGTAGGGAGAAATAGTATTTTATAGTTTAGCCTTGAAGGTCACTTTTTTTAATAACTATGATTGAGAACTTAAGACTAATCACTGCTAGCTGACATAACAAAATAAAAAAAATATATATAAACAATTAAAGTTTGTATTAATCAGTAAAATTAGATATTTCATTTAACATGGCACAAGAACTCTGTTTATCTAAATGAAATCATCTAGATTTCACATTAGCACATTACTCTATTTTACAAATAAGGTAATAACTAAAGTAGATAAAATAGAACAGGTACATCAAATTGCCCGCAATTTAGCAAACATTTGAATGATCTTTTACTTTGAAACAGAGCAAAGAATTTTGAACCATGATGACTAAAATATAAAAATGTATAGCTTAAAGGTGACAAATTGCATCGTTTTCATCAGATATTTATACTCAGGTCACAACAAAAGAAATTTTTTTCCTATATATCTATGTTCTTGACACATTTCATTTTGCTCTGTTTTGTGTTCTTAGTATGGGCAAATCTTGAGTCTGGCCCGCATTTTTCTGAGTGAAAGTAGCAGGTAAACCCAAGGAGTTTCACATCAAAAGAAATAAAACTCAAACAAATTCAACAGTCAAAGAAAAAGGTCTTTACCTATAGCAGAAGCAGACCAATATACCAGCAAGAAGCCAAAATGCTCCTGGTTCAACTGACTGAGAAACTTGATTTTGGGAGCAGTTCATTGAGACTTGGTAGCATCAGGCTGTAGTGGAAATCTTTGTAGAATGACTGTGGCTTCCCCTCACCCCTCCTTGTACTGACATGATTCAGATATAACTATTAAAGAAAGAATTATTAACCTGGCCTATTTTCAGAACATTTTCTGTACCCTCTTCCTTTAACCTAAAACATGGCTCTCCCCTAACAATACTGCTTGGGCCCCAGCCCTCTCAGGTGTGGTTCCTTTTCTCATAGGCTTTGTACTGCTAGCCTTAGAAGAACACTAGGAGGTATCTCTGGGTCATTGCTCATTCTTTGAAGATTTTAGCTCCAGGTTTAGTCACTTCCTCTTACAAGAGTACTTCAATCTGAATTCTTGGCAATTTCAATATCTACATATTCTAGAGTCTCCTTCCCTTAGTCTCTTTTCCTCTGGTGATTGCTTATCTCACTTCCATGGTCATGTTCTCTCCTGAACACTGTGATTACCAATATCTGAGCTTTTTCTATGATCACATTTTTAATAACCCCATTTACTGGCCAGCAGCAAATGAATCTTTTTAGTCCACTCATTCTCAATTCTTTGATCTCACCAAGAAGTAATATTTATTGATTCTCTTTTCTTTTTGTTCCCCCCCATCATTGCCTTCATTTCCTCATTTTATTTCATACCCATTTATACCAAAGTATCTAGATACTTTGGTCCACTCCCATGAGTGCCCCTTTGCAAATACTCTCAGTTTTAACATATCTAGGTCATTGTGCCTCTCTCATTAGAGCTCTAGCCTGATTAAATCCAACTCTGTCAGTTCTACATCTGAATCACCAGCTGAAGGCTGAATAATTATACTGAATTTTCTCATTAAAAATATATTATTTCCTGGGGCACCTGGATGGCTCAGTGAGTCAAGCGTCTGACTCTTAATTTTGGCTCAGGTCATGATCTCATGGTTTGTGAGATTCAGCCCTGCTTCAGGCTCTGTGGTGGCAGTGAGAAACCTGCTTGGTATTCCCTCTCTCTCCCTTTCTCTCTGTTCCTCCACTGCTCATGCATGTGCATGCATGCACTGTCTCTTAAAAATAAATGAACATATGTGTGTGTGTGTGTGTGTGTGTGTGTGTGTGTGTGTGTGTGTATTTCTTCTGAGCTCCAGTGCTGCCCCAAATATAGGTCTACCTCATTTTATTGCACTTTGCTTTACTGATTTTCATAGATACTACATTTTTTACAAATTGAAGGTTTGTGGCAACCCTACATCAAGCAAGTCTAAGACAGAAGCTTGACAAAAGTGGAAAGGATGGAAACTGTATAGAGATCAACTTAAATATATCCAAAACAGAGCAATCCAAGGCTACTTCATATGGGAACAAGTAACTCTAAACAGCTCAAGGGCTTTGAGAGTTTTACAACCAATATAATAAAAGTCATAAGAATCACTGAGGGGGGAGAATTGTGTTGTAGTATTCTTCAGGTTAAGAAGCAACCCCAGTAGTCAAAATTAAAAAAAAAAATAATAAAGTTTTTAGATCCAGTAAAAATTTGACTGTTAAGAATAATTTTCTAAGGATTACTGCTTTAGTTCTTAGATAAAATATTTGCTTTTGTATTGAGAAGTTTATGTCTAAAAATCACACATAAATATCTGACAATTAAATGTATGACTCAAAGAGGAGGAAGGTATATTCTTTAATTACAATATTGCTCTTTATATTTGGTTAATGAAGAAAAATTATAAGCCTAGTTGAAAGATTTGTATGTAGATAAAGGGGAAATGAAAGTAAGTAGAATTCTGCAGAAACAGATCTATTCAAACATGAAGGGATTGAAATAGAAACTATGGAGATAATTGTATTCTTGTCACCCTTAATCTAGGATGAGCTGACACTTGAGAGAAATAAAATGGCCTATACTTCAAAAATCAATCCCAAAGATTGATTTGGGTCAATCTTATTTGAATTGATTGAATGCTAGATATGAACATATATACTTACTTATTTATTTGGAGAAATATCTAAACTACATTTTTCCATGAGGAAAATGATAACAGAAGTTTGAAATTACAAATCTCCTATTTCTTCTAAGCCCTTCTCATGATAATCCTCTCTAGGAAGGGAGTCACTGCATTGCCGTGGCTAATAAGATAGCATATACTTTTATCCATCGCTTGTTAACAATTAGTTGAGCAATCTTTCATTTGCTAAAATTACTATAATTCAAAGAAAAATTACCTTTAAGACTGTTTTGAACTTCTAAAGCTATATCAAGAGCATTAAAGGGCAGAACTGGTTCGTTGGCAATTTGCAAAATCACTTCTCCTGAGAGCTGAAAGAAAAAAAAAAAGATGGTAGCATTCAGTATTAAGGGTTTTTGATTTGTTTATTTTTCATTACTTCATGCACTCTTGTATAACCACAGTAGCAAAACACAGAGGGCAAAATATTCTTTTATAAGATACATTTTCCTTTTAAACTCTTTTTTGTTTTTATTTTTCTATAAAAAAAAAAACGAAAAAAAAAACCCATAGTATTTTTCATGTCTCAAAGTAGCATAAAGGAATATAAGATTTTCTTCCTTTTTTAAATTAAAATATTAAGAAATAGTGCCTTAATTGAAGAAGTTGTAATACTTAAACTTTAAAAAAAGTCCTTATAAAGCAGTTCAGAATGTTATACAATAAAACAAACAGTAGAGAGAAATATAACTGAAAATCAATATTTGGTTATGAGACTAAGTAAAACTCCAGACAAAATTAATGATCAATTTATTTCATTTAAAATACAATTTAGCCTGAACAAACTGATGGTTACAGAGGGGAGGCCGGTGGGGGGGATGGGTGAAATATGATGGGATTAAAGAGTGCACTTGTTCTGATGAGTGCCAGATGTTGTATGTAAGTAGTGAATCACTAAATTGTACACCTGAAACTAATATTACAGTGTAGGTTAACTAACTGGAATTTAAATAAAAACTTAAGAAAAAAATAAAATGCAGTGTTGTTTTCATTTGGAAACTAGAAAAGGTATATAATTTATTCTAAAAAATTCCATTAAAATCTTAGTTACTATTTTCCTTAATGCTTTACTCCATTTCTAATTACTCTTCCAAAATCTATCAGAACCAGGATATGAGGGCGATCTGGCTGTGACATCTGTCATCCCATTGATCGCCAGGGTTGATTGGGCTCATCTGGCTGGCTAGGCAGGTGTCTCCTTCCTCCATCACCGCTCCATGTGCGTCCCTCCCAAAGCTCTGCGCTGGGTTGAAGAGGACGACCTTCCCCGATAGAGGAGGACCGTTCTTCTGTCAAGGGTATATGAGTAGCTGTGCTCCCCTGCTAGAACCTCCAAACAAGCTCCCAAAATCTATCAGAACCAGTATTATGTATATATCTCTGAGGTCAGTGTTTAAATTCAGTTAAAATAATTTTAATGGCATCCCCAAACTCATACCTGGAATTTTTGTGTATATTGCACCCCCCCCCACCCCCCCAACACCATACTCCAAAACTGTGTTTGGAAACCAACATATTCACTACAGCTGAACTAGCATCTGCTTTATAGACTGAACAAGTCAAATGCATTCATATACATCTCAAAGGAACTTAGGGCTGGCTGCAAATGCCATTGTTACTCTCCCTCTCTCTCAACTGATATTTAATATTTACTTAGGCTTAACAAAGTCCCTACATCTCTAATAACCCTGAAGCTTTCACACAGGGAAGTGTGGCTGTGTTGATGTTATTAATGTACTATGAAATGTTGTTAGTAAATGAAAATATCATCTTGTGAAATTACACAGGGGAAATTAGCACACTAACTTGAGACATTATGGAACACGTAAAAGATACAACTTACAAGGAAAATGTGATGTTAAATATTCAAATCTACATATTCAACAAGGGTCAGATTCCATTTAATATTTAAAAGTTATAATTCCCAGTTGTTGGCACAATTTATATCATGAAAAAATACAATTCAATTTTATCTTCTTCTAAATACTTGGAGAAAGACATCTCTTAGAAATAAAGAGGGAGGAGAAATATTTTTGATGTCCTTTTATTTCTTTGAGACATTTTTCTCCGAACTGTAGCAACTACTTATTCCCAATGCCTAAGGTTTATTTGCAGAGTTTTATCTCCAGCACAGTGATCACAAAAATCCTAGGAAACTGCCTACTCTGATTATGCTGTTTTTCAGAGGAAAAGCTTTATCTGCAACAGGCTGATACGAACTCTATCTCTATTCCACCTCACTACATCCAAATCATGTAAGAAATACCAATATTTGGAAATAAATTATTTGTAAAAATGAATTTTTAAAAAAGATTAAGAGGCATTATAGTTTCTTTTTTTCAATTTGCACTGGATAATAGAAACTACAGAACAGACATGTTTTGTTTACAGTTTTGGAATCTGAAACCACACATTATAAAAGATTAAAATGAAAGAATGCGGAGGGTGGAGAGAGGCAATTCACTTTGTGCTGCTGGAGAAAGTTGTTTTGTTCTGTTTTAAGAGTCATTTGGCAGCTCAAAAAACTGGAATATAAGCCAGCCACCTTGCTATTTGTTTCAGAAAGAACCTGACAACAAATACTGGGACTTTCTAAGGCGCCTGGTCCATGATAGAATGCTTGGGCTAAATTGGGTTTATTTGCAGCTTCATAAGCAAGAGGGAGATTTACGTAGGTTTTGCCGTGAAGTAAGAAGACCGGAGTCAGACTCATACTCTTTCCATCCACTCTGGAGTCACTCTTTTTCAGGCAAGCCTAGGCAACTATTCCTTATATTTATATAAGGCCCCATTCTTTCCAAAGTGCTTTACACCTGAATATCTCATTTGATTATCTTGACAAACTTAGAGGCAGGTAGTGGGGAAATTAACCCTTTGTTAAAACAGTAAGTGTAACTATAAGCCTTATGAGGTTCCAGTCCAGGATGGTGATATAGGAGGATCCTGAATTTACCTCCTCCCACGGACACACTGAATCTATAGCTACACACAAAACAATTCTCTCTGGGGGGAAAAAAAACCCACACAGTCTGACCATAAACATTAGCACATCACAGTTTCAACTGGGAAAAAATTCATAGCTCCCAATTTCTCCCTGAAGAGAGAAGGGTTTGGATCCAACACAGAGTGCTCTAACTTTTAAGACCTCCATCTGAGGTACAGGCCCCCGGCACCCAAAAAGCCGGTGAGACTAGGGTCTAGAAGACCTACACACCTATAGAAAAGAAACAGCTCTTAAGGTGCTTGTGAGGACTTGTTGTGAGTCCCCAGGGCTCACTGAAGAGGTAGCAAGCCCAAAATGCCTCATCCTCCGAAAGAGGTCTATTTACTTATCTTAAAAGAAACAGCCTTAGAGTCAGGCTTCTAATTTAACATTCATCTAAGGGCCAACTGCAATTCTCTTGAGAGTGAGGAGGCTGGCAGGTGCCATGTTTTGCATTTTACCTCTGCCCTGCTCCAGGTCACCCATGTCTCCCTGAAAGGAGCTTGAGCACATGTCTGGTGCCCTGTTTTTGTGGCGGCTTCCCAGAAGAGGCATCCCTTGAATGCCTGGCTCTGGTGGCCAGTCGGGCTTGACTTTTGGAGTTTGAATTCCCATAGAACTGTAGCAAACAAAGAAACACTTCTTAATCAGTTATCCCTTCAGGGCTCAGTGCAAAAAAGAACAGAGAGAAATGCCAATCTCCCAGTCTTTCTTTGAAAGAGGCCTATTTGCATACTTTAAACTTGCTGCCTGAGGGCTAGGCCTCTGTTACAACAGGCATCTAGGAATAGACAGTGATCTTCCCCAGAGAACAGGGAAGCCAATAGGCTTGATCTTAGCATTCTTCCCGTAGCCTGACAATACCAATATCCTCCTGGAAGGAGTTTTTATACATATCTGGTGCCCCAGCTTTTGTAGCTGCCTCCCAGGGAACATACTCCTTGATAGCCTGGCTACCTAGGCCAATGGAGCTTGCATTCACAAGTTTCACAGCACTGTAGCAAAGAAAGACTTCTTAACTGGCTTATCCCTCTAGGGCTCAACGCATAGGAAGACTACAGAAAGGCCTTTCTCCTAGTCTTTCCCAGCTAGAGGTTTATTTGTGTACTTCAAAAGTTGCTGACTGAAAGTCTTCCAATCAGCCTGCATCTGGTTGCTGACTGATACTCTCCCCTTTGGGACAAGCTCAACCACTGTAAGTGAATCACAAAGACTTAAGTGACAACCAAGAGCTAGGACCAGGCTGAACAATACAGTTTGTCTCTGATGTGAGACCATTCCATCAAAAATGAAGATAGTATTTGTTTTATATAGTGTACAGGAAGAAACACAGAGAGCAAAGAAAAATGAAAAAACAGAGAAATATGTTCCAAACAAAAGAACAAGATAAAACTCCAGAAACAGACTTTAGTAAAATGGAGATAAGTGATTTACCTGATAAAAAGTTCAAAATAATGGTAATAAGGAGAACAGTGCATAAAAATTGAGAATTTCAATAAACATAAATGAAATATTGCAAAAGTATAGAACAGAAATCATGGAACTGAAGAACACAATAAGTGAACTGAAAAATTCAATAGAGGGGTTCAACAGCAGACTAGCTCAAGCAGAAAAAAGGATTCATAAACTCAAATATACAAATTCATACCATCAGAAATATAATTAGAAAAAAATTAAAAAGAATGAAGGAAGCTTAAGAGATACCATCAAAAAGATCAATATTGACACTATAGAGGTCCCAGGAGGAGAAAAAAAAAAGAGAAAGGGGACAGAAAGCTTTTTAATTTTTTTTTAAATTTGAGTATAGTTGACACACAATGTTACATTAGTTTTAGGAGTACAATATAGTGATTCAACAACTCTATAGCCTTACCCTATGCTTACAAGTGTAGCTACCATCTCTCATCATACAACACTATTGCAATATCACTGACTATATTCCCTGTGCTGTGCCTTTTATTCCTGTGTTTATTTTTAATCCCATAACTGGAAGCCTATATCTCCCACTCTCCTTCACCTATTTTGTCCATTACCTCAATCCCCTTCCCTCTGGCAACTAGTTTGTTTTCTGTATTTGTAAGTAGGATTCAGCTTTTGTTTGTTTATTCATTTTTTAAATTTTTTGAATTCCGTATATGAGTGAAATCATAAGTAGTAGAAAGCTTATTTAAAGAAAAAAATGGCTGAAAACTTCCCTAGCCAATGAGATTCAAATAAGACAAATCCAAAGAAATCCACAGCAAAACACATTATAATTAAATTGTCAAAAGTTACAAACAAGAAGAGAATCTTAAAAGAAACAAATGGAAAACAACTTGTTTCCTATAA